TCTGGGGCGCCTGGGTGGCGCAGTCGGTTAGGCGTCCGACTTCAGCCAGGTCACGATCTCGCGGGCCGGGAGTTCGAGCCCCGCGTCGGGCTCTGGGCTGATGGCTCAGAGCCTGGAGCCTGTTTCCGATTCTGTGTCTCCCTCTCTCTCTGCCCCTCCCCCGTTCATGCTCTGACTCTCTCTGTCCCAAAAATAAATAAAGGTTGAAAAAAAATTAAAAAAAAAACAAAAAACAAAAACTGTAGCTCTTGTGTGGAAAGGTGGTTGGAAGACCTGGGTTCAATTGTTGGCTCTGCCACTGACAAGCTTGTATTAAATGACTGTCTTAACTTCACCTTGATCCTCAGTTTGTTCATCAACCAAAAGAGGAGCTGGATTAGATCTCTAGGTTCTTTGCAGTTCTGAAATTACGACAGTCTAAGTGAGGTTACTGACTAGATTCTTTGTTACGTCTTTTTTGTTCCATAACATATGAAGGTGGTAATAGGTTTTCAAACAATTCTGACACACAGCAAATCCAGGAACTAGATGCCCTTTACGTTCAGGTTGTAGGGTTATTAACCATCTTGATAAAAATGGCAGCTGACAAATATACAGTTGGTGGTGGCTTCCATGGAATGTGGATATGGGTTCTGGAAATATGCTAGTTGAGTGAGATTCACCTAGATTAGAGTCAGTATGGTACACAGGAAGAGGCTTAGCAAATGAGTCAGAGTTCAATTCTACCATTCTCTCTTTTTTTAAATTTTATTTATTAATCTTGAGAGAGAGAGAGAGAGAGAGAGAGAGAGAGAGAACGAGCAAGCACGTACATGAGAGCGAGGAAGGGCAGAGAAAGAGAGAGAATCCCGAGCAGGCTTTGCACTGTCAGCGCAGAGCCCAACGTGACTCAGGGGTCACAAACTGTGAGATCATGAACTAAGCCTAAATCAAGAGTCAGACACTTAACTAACTGAACTACCCAGGCGTCCCTACCATTATTTTCTTAATACCAACCACTGCAGGACACAAAGCTAAATGCTAATAAATGAGTCGGATCATAAGAAGGAATAATGGATGCAATAAATAAGCAAATAGCTAAAATACAAGGTGCTTACAGGGACACAAAGGGGAAAACATATCCTATCCGAGCCTGAGAATAGCTTCCTGGAGGAGGCAGAAGGTATGCTGGGAATCTCAGGAGGGGATGGATACATACAAGGGTCATGGAGCCATTCTAGCTAGCTTGAAAGCTTACAAGTTTTCAGCCTGGGGAAAGCCACATACCCTTAATCTGTCTGCACTGAAAAAGAATGAAGAAAGATAACCTGCTTTGCCTACCTCATAGCTTGTTGTAAGGACCAAATTAATAAGCACATTGAAGTGCTTGGGAACCGTGAAGAGTATGATCCTATTATTACAGTTTACAGCCCTATTATTTCAGTCTGTTCAAATGAGAAATCTTTTCACAGTAAAGCCTACATCTGATATAAAACAATTAAAGCTCAGTGTCTTATCCTCTAGTTTCAAAGTCTATTCTCAGTTGAGCAATCTCCACTGGGATTTAGGGAGAGCACTGGGACAAAGTGCTTTTCTGAAGCTGGCAATGAACTTGGGGGGCTCAGAGTTCCTTGTTTATTTTTATTTTATTGAGTCTGTCAGCAACACTCAACACTACTGTCACAAGGAGCTGGGCTATGGGAAAATGTACTTTCATGCCTCAAATCTCATCCTTCTACTAGTTCGCTTCACAGAGACTCGTGTGGTTATATATTTACTCTGATCTACTTGAACTGGGAATGATTCTAGTATTTCTAAGTGTTTCATTGTTAATAATAAATAGAAAAAATTTAAGCACTCTGATGTCTGGATTTTTAGAGGATATGGGCAGGGTACTAGCATCATCTTTCCCTCTTTTTCTTCCCCCTCAGTGTAAATGGCCTCCTATATTACTTTATAATTGACATTACTACACTGAAAAGTCTGTCCACTTGTGGATATCTGTGCTATATATAAACTTGCTGTGTTGCATTCTTTTTTTTAAATTTGAACCTCTGTAGCACTGGATTGGATCTTTAAAATATTTTTTTTAAGTTTATTTATTTTGAAAGAGGGGCAGTGAGAGAGGGAGGGAGAGAGAATCCCAAGCAGGCTCCATACTGTCAGTGCAGAGCCCAACGTGGGGCTCGAACTCATGAACTATGAGATTATGACCAGAGCCGAAATCAAGAGTTGGATGCTTAACTGACTGAGCCACCCAGGTGTCCCCTGGATTGGACCTTATTAGATCATTGTAAGTCAGTGCTTTGTGGCCATAGGAGTTCTGGCTGAGTGGGTCATTAGAGATAATTTAACTCAATCCCTATCGGGAAGACCAAGACAGCAAGCACGAATTTCCCCCAATCACAGGGATAGCTGTTGGCAGAGTCAAGATTTGACCCCGTATCCTGATTCCTAATTCAGTCTCCTTGCTCCGTAACTAAAATTATCACCTTGCTGGGTTAGCCATGTGAAAGCCCCTTAATACTATACAGCCTTCTTTATCTTTCCTATAGATATCATCATTCTACAAACTTGCTCTCAACAGCCTTTTAAACATGACTCCTTCCTCCTGACCAATTTCTTCTGTCTCAGAAATACCAATTTAAGGTCCTACATTTTTGGCCATTATCTTGATAATGTTTTTACTTAGTAAGACTCTGAATGTACAAGTGGGGAATGGAATACTTACGGTTTTGTTTTTTTTTTTTTTTTAAAGATACTTATGCTATTATTTTTTTCTCTTAATCCTTAGAGAGAATATATTTTAAAGCTTATAGAATTGGCTTCATTATACTCGTATATTATGTATAATACCTTTGAGATAAAAAGTACTCTATTAAAATCACAGATTCCATTAATAACACTGATTGACTTATTGTATAGAATTCTGGAACAAGAAGAGTGGATGATTCATAGCAAGATCAACCATATTTAACTAGGGAAAAATTACTAAGATCAATAGGTTTAGATAACATATTCACTTCTCCCTTCAGTAAAACCAAATAAATCATATAAGTAGAGAATTCAAAGAGTTATTTTAGCAGTGTTTTCCCCACTCTGTATGTTTCTAAGAATTCCTAATGCTGAACTGATAGAGCTTACCTTAAGTTTATAGACCAAAACTCATATACCTCATTGACCAGAAACCTCATTCTTTACTCATTTTATAGATATTTCATAATTATGGGTATTTATATAGAAAAATACGTAAAAATATGGAAATTCTGATTTTATAGTCAGACTCCTGAGCCTTACCAGAAAAAGAAAAATATATATATATATATGCTATCTTAAGTATCAGAGAAATGATGGATTATATTTCTGACACTTAATGAAATTTTGCATAGGAGAAATGATACAAAATTGCATATTTTTATAGAAAAATATATATAGACACAAGAAAATAAAATCTTTTAAATCTATCAAAGGATAAATAGAGGTCATACTCAAATGTTGAAGTCAACAGCCCAGGAGAAAGCAGAAATCCTTTAGAATTAAAATTTACGTTAAACTTGGAGGCCCAAGTCGATCAGACAGAGCTTTGGCAATGGATCCACAGACAGACTGACTCAAAGACAGTTCGACAACTGCCAACATGACTGTTGGGAATTCTGCCAAAGAGCCAAAGGCTGGGATTACCACCCAATGCCTGGCATTCTCATACTCGTGTTTGAAGCTCTCTCTCTGATACTTCATCCAATATTTTTGTTTGGCTCAAAAGCATCAAGGATTCACAGATTTTTTTAGATCATTAAATGTTCTTATTTTCAAGAAATATAACATTAGTTGTAAAAGAGCACACTTTTTCTCTGAAGTGTAAAGAAAATTTTGGTGACTTGCTTTAAGTTCAAATAGAGAAATCAGCATTAAAGTCTGTTTAAGCCTTTATTTTATTAGGTTACTCTTCACCCAAAAAATAAAAAATACATATTCATAATATGGAATGATTTCATTGTATCATAAACTCTTACAGAAATAGTGCTTTTGATAGCTCTAATGAACACATGGCCCCTGAGGCTCTATCTCAGTCCCTGTGAGGAGTACCCATGATAATGAAGTGTGGCTATAAGGAGAAGTAGTTGCTCAACTATTCTTTGAGTTGTGAGGAAGGAGGAGGGCAGAACAACCTTCTGAGGGACAAGAGATAGGTGTTCCAGTTTCTCAGGGCAACGTCCACTTAATTTACCTGCTAAGTTGCTAGCCAGTGAGATATGTGAGTTTTGCCTACAACTCTAGACACATTCTTTCATTAGGCAGTTCCTCTGTCATTAGACAAATTCCCCATTAGCAATTCTTGGAGCTGTACTGAGAAACCAATTTTTCACCCAACTTAAAATTGTGCATACTCTATTTGGAAATCTTACCTTTGGATCTCGAAGGAACAGAGCCTTAAGAATCAGTGAGTGTACATCCCCAATTAGTGGGTAATGCATCAGAAGGCCAAGACAGGTCTGGTAGTTACTAGAGATCACTAAATAGGAGGAAAAAAAAAGTTCAGAAGCAATACTGTTTAAGATGTTTGCATTACTTGAGAGTAAAAAAATAACAACTTAGATTCAAAGAAAGCAAACCAATAACTCAATTAATTTGATAAAAGGAAATGGGGAAAGGGATCTTTACCAAATGGCCTTTGAAGCGGCACACTGTACTGTTAACTGCAATCTAATATCTAGTACTTATCCTCAGGGGGTGTTGGAAGAAGAGCCTCAGATATCGAGATGTGTACGTTTGCAATATAAATAAACTCTTAGAAGCATGCATATTTATTGCCATTTATATGTCTGTGTTTAAATGTCTCTAGTTTTGCTGCTTAGAAATTAGTAACAAAAATCTTATGAATGGGAAAGAACCAGTTTAAAATTATCATAAAATAATATTTACCTTAATTATGCTCCATAAGTTACATATGTTACATTTATTCTTTTATATATAAATATTACGTAATTCAAAGTTTTAAAAAATCTAATTTCTTTCAATTATTTTTTTCTAAAGGTAACGAGAAATTTAGGTAGAGTATCTATGCAGCATTTCTTGGAGGAAAAATGTCAAAATCTTCATAGATAAGCCTAACTGTGTTCCTTAGACTGTCATTTAATTTTTTTTCCCAAATCAACCTAATTATGGGCGCAATTATTAAACACATCTTTTCAAGCAGGTCTATGTAAACTACTTCATTTCTTGGCAATCCATCTGCCACTGCTGTCACAGTCTTGCCCATTAATGACGCTTGTTTTGTAAGCCACACTGACTGCCTCCACAGCATTGATTGTGAAGAAACTTTACAGTTACAACTTCCTGTTGTTGCAACTGAATCCTTTTCATTAATCAGAACAAACAGTTGAAAAATATTCCATAGGAAAACAACTGTGATTCTATAGAAACAACATAAATCACAAAATAAACAATTGTTTGTGATCAGAAATACCCTCGATTCTTAGATATTTTTTTTTCTTCTTTTGTTGGAAGCAACATTTTTTGCAACAGCTTCTCACCCCCTCCCCCTTCCCATGAACATTATGGGGAAAGGAGACAGGACTGGGCAAAATGAATAATTATAATCTATGTAAGGAACCACTTTATCATCTTCATTTCCGTTGCTGATCTGACAGCTTGTAATTTCATACATCTGCTTTCATTTGTAAAGCACTCACTTATCCTACCCTTTCTGTATCTGTTCAGACTACTCTCTCCTTATTCGTTCATTTTGTCATATTCACATTCAGTTACCTGTTACCCTTTTTTTCTCTAGAATTCAAAAAGCTAGCAGGCTGGGAACAGTATAATGCTTCCACGTAGTTTTTTCTTTGAGATCTAACAAATGAATAAAACTTAGATAATCAATTCATACTTACCCAAATACTATAATGATTATATACTAGTATATAATGACCCGGAAAGAATTCTTGTATATTTTGTAAGAGAGGCAGGAGGGTTTTGTGGGAATGGTTCTGGGCTCGGGACTCAAAGATGTGGGTTTGAATTCTGGGACACCGTATGAACCTTTCATAAAGTTGCCTTAAGATTAAAGGACATATTGTATGGCTGATTTATAGCAGCTGCTCAAAACCTGTTGGTAACCTCTCCGAGCTTAAACTCAGTCATTTGGAATACAACTTCCTGTTAAAAAAAATTATCTGCCTGCTTTATTCAATCCAATAGTTATTTGTTGAGTACCTAACCCATGACAAGCCCCATGTTGGGCGGGGAGGCAGAAATAAACAAAACACAGTCCTTACTCTGTAGAAAATTAAAGCGAAGAAGGGCAGATGTGTAACAAGAAGCAGTTATTATTATGACTACCACTAAGATGACAAAAAACTTATCGAAGGCTTTCTGAGACCAGGCCCTATGCTAAGAATTTTCCCTACATTATCTCATTTAATTTCTACGACTATCTTATTATAAGGGTATAGTTATCATCCCTGTTTACAGATGAGAAAACTAATACTTTGAAAGGCTGAATCATTTCCCAAATCACACAGTGAGTTGGTAGCGGTGCAAGACTCGAAATTCAGAAATCTAGCTACAGGGTCTGCGCTCTAATACATGGCTTTGTTTTGAAAAGGCAGTTGTTTTGAAAATGAGATGCCATAATGAACGCAACAGTCACTGCAAACAGAAAAGCCAGTTAGTATTACTACCCTTGTTGTAGCAGTTTTAAGCAGCCTGGATGGTCAGCATAACCCTGTCTCTAGAATGGCCTGATATAGACAGGCACTTATTTGGAGGGACAAGGGCAACAGTCCTGTTATTACAACTTGAAAGAACTTTTGAAGCTGTCAGAAGCTGTAACACATGTAAGGGAAGCCAACTAATGCGTTAATAATATCCTACTTGCAGAGTGAAAGAAGGAGCTAACATTCTTTCTCTCATTTCTCCCTTTCATCCACCCAGACACTGAATGCGATGAACATTTCCTGAGCATCTACTATATCCCGGACACACAGAGACCGCTAGGCACTGGCACTAGGGATATAACTGCAAATGAATCTGAGCTCTGAAGGGTAGCAGAACATGCCAGCTGAAATACTGCTGTAGAGTGCTCACTTCGGCAGTACATGTGCTAAAACTGGAACGATACAGAGTCAGCGTGGTCCCTGAGCAAGGGTGACGTGCAAATTTGTGAAGTTAAATACTGCTATGGGAGTTCAGGACATGCCACCCCCAAATATGTCCCTTTGGTATACTGATTATTTTGAGCTATAGGCACTTGAAAAACAACAAAAACAGAGTGAGGCTTTCTTTGAACTCCCCTTATCTGCCTAAAAATAAACCCTCCAAAAGGAAGTCAATGGTCATAAATTCCCCCAGGACAAACTTGGTCACAAACTCATACCTTTCATCTATTCTTCTAAGGGTCCACTGTCTTTCCTAAAAATCATTTATTTTCCTCTATGAGATCTACATCCTCTCTCCCCTTTCTTTATTAAGACAGTATTTAATCCTAAATTCTAAAGCCAATCTTTGAGATTTGCTCATTATTCCCTGAGTACCAAATACAAATGAGACACACATTTTTATATACATGTCAATATGTATTAATTATATAATTATAAATATTTTATTAAGATTAAAATAATATTAAAATATATGATTATGTAATTAACACATATATAATTATATAATAAGATAGACGTTAATAAACTTCTGTTTTTCTCATTAATATGTTTTTTGTTAAAGAATGCAGCTGAAAACCTAAATGAGTGTAGGTAAAGTTTTACCTCCCCTATAGCCCACTGTCTTCAGATAATACTATATCTATTAATGAAAACTTGTACGTTTAGAGCACTTTTAATTTGCAATTGCATACGCGAAGCGTTAGGTCCATTTTGAATTGCCGTGCCCAATTAAGAGTAGGCAAGAGAGAATAACACAAGCTGGTTTACAAACAAAATAGCAGGGATCTGATCGAATAAGAATTTAGTTTTGATCTTTACAGCAGATTGTTGTTGCACGTGAGAAACTCATCTGCAGTGCTGTTCCTTCTCTAGTGCTTATTCTATCAGAGCAGGGCAGTGACACAGGAAAACAAGTAAAAAGGCTGATTTTTGCTATCTCCCTGCATTTGAAACCAAGTACATATATGCTTTCAAAACAAAGTACCGAAGCTGCACACCCTGAAGAGCTCACTCAGAGACGATGGAGACAAATGTAAGTGGTACCTAGGATAACAGACTGGATTTGGAATCAGATGATCTAAGTTAGAATCTAGATTAGATCTACTTCAGAATGCTCGCTTACTCCGTGTGTGACCTAGGCAAGGCGCTTAACTTCATGAGCTTTATTTCTCCCATTTATAAAACAGATAATGATGCTTACACTACGCGCAGGGTTCCTATAAGGGTGGCACAGATGCAAGGTAGTGTGTTTCCCATCTTGTTTAATTCTTGCTGAATGGCACTCCCTCCGCACGAAGCAGAGCTGACTTCTCTGTCTCTACCTCTACATGGCACACGACTGTTCTGGAGGTGTCTAAGGGAGCTGGCTTAAATAGTTTCTCCAGTAATAAGAAAACAAAAAAAATAATGAAATCAGTAAAGATAATCAGAGGATGATACTGTTTTGAGAAAGCCTAAAGCAATATGGTTAAATAACTTACATATAATTCAAAGTTAGCTATACCTACAAGTGTAAAACTCGCAAATAAAACACTTTATTCTAATTACTTAATTTTATATTTAGATATACTTACTTTCTCAAGTTGACAAAATGGACTGGGAACAACTACCAAAGAACACAAAACTAAATGTAGACTTCCTTTCTCTAAAATTAAAAAAGTAATAGCTATCACTTATTAAGCATCTATAATGTGCCTGGCAACTTGCCATACATTATACAAATATCCTGTGAGTCCTGCTAATCCCTACTAAGGAACCTGTGGTCATCAACTCCACATTGTGGATGAGGAGACAGCAGTGCAGAGAGGATAAACAACACATTCAAGGCCACCGGGCTCCTGAACGGCAGAGACAGCGCTGAATGAACCCAGGTCTGTGTAGCTGACAGCCTCATTCTCCATCGCTATATCTTACACATTGCTGCACTCCTAGCAGAAAATGTCACAACAGGGGCACCTGGGTGGCGCAGTTGGTTAAGCGTCCGACTTCAGCCAGGTCACGATCTCGCGGTCCGTGAGTTTGAGCCCCGCGTCAGGCTCTGGGCTGATGGCTCGGAGCCTGGAGCCTGTTTCCGATTCTGTGTCTCCCTCTCTCTCTGCCCCTCCCCCGTTCATGCTCTGTCTCTCTCTGTCCCAAAAATAAATAAAAACGTTGAGAAAAAAAAAAAATTAAAAAAAAAAAAAAGAAAATGTCACGACAGGAGTATCCATGTACAGAGGTCAAGTTCAGACACAGGGCAGATGGCTTCTGAACACCAACTATGTTGTGAGTGACAGAGAAGCCTCAAAGATACACTGAAATAAAGGTCTCCGTATATAAGGGCAAGTATAGTAAATATTTAGAAATAGGCATA